ATTCCTGCTAGATTTAATGAATACGAACTTAAGTTGAGTCAAAGGTAAAATTCGGGACATCGAGTATGAAATTTCATCAAATCACAGAACTGGGGCATTTTTTTGTTTGACTAAATTTCATAAATCTGATAATAAATCCTGTTAATAGGCAATACAAAACACCCCTTTAATGATAGAATAGTAGATTTGATGTTAAAAATTTTGTTTTAAAGTAATACTCTTGTATTTGATGAAATCTTATATCTAAATAGAGATTTCCTATGTCTAGTTAAGAAGGCATGCATTTAAATAAAACATATTATATTTAAATAAGATAACTAATGTCTTGATCAAATATATTTTAAATATCACAATACATTAGGAGAAATTCCTAAGCAATATTTAAAATGCTAAGTTGTTATGTGGAGCCTGATTGTGCCGTTTAATTAGTCATACAAAGCCATTAATTTATTTTTACTGAGACCCAACTATGTTGCGGCGCCTAGTCCAAATTAAGAACCCAGGAACGTAACATTGCAGCGTCCGACGTGGAGCGCTGCGCCGTCCATTGGAGTTCCGCAACACTACTATCACTCATCTTGACTAGTAAAGTTTCTCATTGATAGAGATTTGAAAGATTTTGAGTCCTGAAAACATGAAGGAGAATCAAACCGGATTCATGTTGCCCATGCAAGCTGAACCGGACCGGATTGGCAATCTATCACAAAAGTGACTGCGACTGCCCACCTTGGCGGTTTCACCGGCTCACGGATCTAAGGAAGAACATTGATAAAGCGACGAGATAACTCGCGACATTGATGAAATATCTTTCCACACATTGCTGCTCTCCTAAAGCTCCGAGAAGGAACAAAAAATACAAATATATGAAACATAAATCAAGAAAATAGAATCGTATATTTATAATAAAAAAAATTAGTTTATTCGCATTTTAGTATCTGTTTTAATACCAAAATTTCATTTCTGATGTAGCGATTGTTATTATTTTGCAGCATTTTTTTACCATTTTTAATAATAATTTCCTTTTTCTCTCTCTCTATATATATGTACTAAAATTGCAAAGACTGTTGACTCAATCTATTTATTAAATTCAATTCACATCCAATCGATCTATCAAAAAATTTAAATATAATTCTATGTTATAATAATTAATTTTAGTAGTATTTATAAGCAAGCCACTTAATTTGTATGTATTTACATATTTAGCAAATAAACTTTTTTTAAAAAATTTATAAGTTTATACCTTTAATAAACATAAAAATATCATTATTCTTAATTTTTACAATAAAAATACATTTTTTATGAACAATTAAAATGCTATAAAAAAATACACGCACAAGCATCACACACACACACACACACACACAATATATA